GTCGGGGCCCCTCCCCGGGCAGATGGAGCTCGTTAGCCCTGTAAGGCAATCCATCTACATCCTGAGGACCTCGCTGCCACCGTCCAAGCATGCTTGGCCCCGGCAGATGAACCTCAGGATTAAAGGGTGGGCTCAGTTCCGCGCACACTGTGTCTCACCTAAAAAATCCAATGCGCAGGCTGGAAGGTGTAAAGACCTTCCCCGGTTCTTCGTTCGCGAAGACTGGCCATTATAGCTGTTGTAGTTGCAGTTTTAACTCCCAATAGTGGGTGGGGTTTAATTTAAAGTGAGATTTAAGGAGCGTAGGTGTAAAAAATGTGGATAAGTTTTGCGTCTTTATTGGTATTTGCAGGAATACCACTTGCAAATAGATTTTTAGATAGTTTGTCTAATATATGTTTCTTCAGATTTTTTTTTTCAAACATAGTCCTTTTTTTAAAATTCATTGAAAGATGAAATATCCAAGAGGACTATACAACACTATGTAAAGGGCTAAGAACTTTAGAAAAGAGTTTGAAGTCACAGATGAGGAGAGCTACAGTACTGTTACGGTATTGTAAGCATCTTAGTTGCAAGAAAACACTTTGGAAAAGAAAGAGATGAAGACACAAGTGTTTTTGTCTTTTTTTCGCCTCTCTATGTAAACTGCACCAGAAGCATTGTGAGTTCTCATTTGGTGTTTTTGAACAGTGGCCAATATCTGAATATGAAAAGAACATTGAAGATTGCAGCAGACAATTCATTTTATATGACTTTCATGCTTTTGTGCTTTTATATGGTAATGCCAGTCAGTTATTGAAAACTGAAGTTCATTTTGGCTAGCTTCTTTTCGAAGGGTTATGACTTCTCACATTCATATGAATGGGGACACACATTTATCTTCCATCATAGTTAAAGACAGTATTGCATCTTAGAGGATTTCTTTTCCTTTTGGACAAAGTAAAGACAGAAGTAATAGGCATGCTAACAAGGGCAGAATTGAGAACTTGGGGTAGAATGTGCCCAGACAGAATTGTTCTGAGAGAGACACTACAATGTATATAAAATTTTGCACTCACACATCTAAACTAGTACAATAATTAAATTTGAAATGCTATTGCCAAGTAAGTACAACTGACTAAAACTTGATGTAAAATATTCCAGTCCTATGGAATTATAAACCCTGATGATTAAAGTGTTTATGTTCATTATTTATAAATATGTACCCTTGTTTTGGTTGGAATGATCAGTTCTTTACTCTTAGTGGGGAAGGAGAGGCTTAATATCAATTCCAGACCTCCGAGGAAGTAATTTCCGCTTTCATGTCCAGATTGTTACTGTGTGATAGTATGTATATAACAGTTGTAAATTTTAGGCCTGTGAGAGGCTTGTGCATTTATGAAAACCATTTATGATGGGCCTTGTTAGCTTCTCAGAATAACAAACCTTTCTCTCAGAAAGAAATTCGGATGTTATGAATTATTGCAGCCCAGGCAGAATAGGGAGTGAAGACTGAGGCTGTAGCTGTACCAGGCTGGTACAGCTGAAAGACTGGTGTGAAGAGGAAGATTATTAACCAGGGGATTAAGAAAGCAGTCAAGTTAAACAAGAAGATATAGATGTCTAATTATTAACGTAAGATTCCTGTGTGGGAATATATGCAGAAAATGAAGGGCTACTTTGGTATTCCCTTACAGAAAGTGGACTGGTGGCTCTGAAGATAGTGGAGCAAAACCTGAAGAATTACTCAGAGGTGCAAGATGAAGTGTGAAATTCTGTGGACCTTGAGACTGCTTTGAACTGTTACCAGTAGTTCCTAACATTTAGAGACAGAGACATATTGTGGATCCATGTATGTTTTTGCAACTCCCTGTGTTTTTCATTATGTCATGGTGAATGATTCTGGGACATTTCAAGTTGATTTGTGTTAAAAAACCAACCAACCAACCAACCAAACAAACAAAATGGAGAAAATACTGTAGTGGAAGACTGCAATTACTAAAAAAGCATGAGTTACTAAAGTTTTTAACACATGATTGCAAAGTATGTAAGTAGAAGAATAATCAGTTTGGTTCTCACATTTAGCTTGCAACTGGAAGATTTTTCTCTGGGGATATTTTTTCTACTGATCATAAGACAAATTTCTAAATGTTTACCTTTCTTTCTGTACCATTTATGTCTGCAAACAATTAGGAGCAAAGCATGGTACTAGGTAATGCAAGCTACCTGCACTAACTCAGTATTGTCCAAGATGACACTATAGGTCCCCATCTTTATGAGTTTACAAGTTAAGAAGTTTATGCAGTTTAAAGGAAATAACAGCTAGAACTGTGGATAAGAAAGGAAAAAGAAAAAATACAGAATCTACGGTTGTGATGTAAAGGTTAAATGAGAGGAAGATATGAGGGTGATAGTAGAATTTCATCAAATAGCAGTAAAAATTCTAGGTGGCTTTGATAGCTATATAAATCATAACAGTGCTACTCTGTATGTAATTCTGAATGTGAAAGGGTTCAAAAAAGTAAAAAGAATAAACACATGGCATAGGAGTGACATTCTTACATCACACTTCAGCCTAAGAACTGAGAAAAACCCCAAACAAACCCTGTAAATATGAGAATGTTTTTTTTTCCTGTTTTGCCTACTCTAGGCATGATTTCTTACTTTTGAGTTTTTTTTTCATTTGGGAAGCACTGTACTAATGGTCAGCTGGAAAAGGCAAACCAAAAGTCTTGAACTGACATGACACTTATTTGTAAGTTTGCGGTCAACTGGGTAAATAAGAATGTAGGTCCTATTCTGAAAATATGTATTTACTCTGTAAAATATAATGGTTTGAGGGGGAAAAAAGTCTTACTATGCAATATATGCATTTTAGGAAGTTTCAAAAGTGATTGAAATGGCTCTTTTTTACTAATAAAAAGGTCTCAAATCGAATGAGTGCATACAAAAGGAAAGATTGGAATGCACTCAAGTGGCAGTAAAACATTATTTTCTGTCACGTAGAATAGGACCTTTGGTATTTTAATTTACCACTGATTTATCCACAGTCACTAATCTCAAAAGTCCAGCTGTTATTTACAGTTTTGGAGCTATGTCACTATTCACTTTGAACTTTTTGATAACCTATGTGTTGCTAAATGAATCTATAAAATTAATTAACATAGAGGCACTAAGATTTTCCATTTGTTTTGTTCAAGAATATCACAAAACCGTGCTTTAATTACTTTATTTTTAGATGCAAACAGAGTTGGTATGGATTCAGGTACCATTCATGGAAATAGAAGTAAAATCCTTCCCTCAAATAAATAGGGAACTTTGCAACTCTGTTGACTTTAGTGTTATATAATCAGTGTGGAAACAGATTATGCTGGTTCATTTGGAGTTTTTTCAGGAGTAAAATAACAAAACAGAAGTTATTAAGGAGTACTGACTTTTTATAATTTAAACCTTGGAATTGTGTTTCTAAGAATTCAAATTATAAACTGGACATAAAATTTACCTAAGACAACTTTTTATCAGCATTGGAGATAGGATTTACAAGGCTTCCGATTCTGGGGAATATAGGGAAAGCAAACCTCTAGTCAGCTTTCTGGTGAAATCTGAGCAGTTTATGAATTACATATCATGCAGTTTGGAATTTCAATGAGTTGAAAATTGATTTTCATGACTTGGGTTTTCTTCTACTTCTAAGCAAGTAAATTTGCATTACAGGGACAAATTGTAGGCCATTACTGTAATTTACAGAGACAATCAATTACCTAGTCCTTCCATCTGCACCTTTGACTTCTCTTTCAAGTAAAATGAAAAAAAGATATATTTGCATCTTTAATTCTATTCCTACATTAAGATAAAAAATATAAATGTTATCTCTTAAATCAGAATACATCATTAGATTGGAATAAGACTTGCAAACTCAGAACCTCTACCAGCAGAAATCAGTGCACAAAAACCATGAAGAAGAGAAAGTAAGAGGTAAGTAGTGTAATTAGATAAGTGTTACCTGTAAAATTCTGGAATCTTTGTATGAAATAAACAAAAGCAATAAGAGCCTGGAGAGGAAATCTGGAACGTGAAGACTGTGAGTTTGTATGAGGATATGAGAGAAGACGGATAGGTGTAGGTGGGAATTATTTGTGTGTTGTGATTGTGTCTGTGCAAGTGGCTCTGCGTCTGGCATTAATGTTTTCTGGCACTGGCTCACATTTATCTGGACTGATACACAGTCAGAATGCTTCTTGGCATGAATTTGCCCTGTGCCATCCAAAGCCCTTCCCACCTCCCCTTCTGGATATGGTTTGGCAGCTAAAATCATCTTGCAATTACTAGAATAGATAAGGCTGTGCTGCTTTGGCATGCTCCTTCTGGCATGGCTCTACAATCATCCCAGCAGGCCTTCTGCCATTCCCCAGGGCATGCCAGATGCACTTTTGGCACTGTGCTGTACAAACACCATTCTTACGAGGACCTGTGAAGTAATTTGCTGATTTTCCACAGTTGGAAAGCAGAAACAGGGTCTTGGTATTGAGGAGACTAGGAGGTGACCACCCTCTTTACAGCCTGCAAGAAACCGAGTGAGAAGGTTGAGGTCTGGCATCTCTTTATCCATCACTAGCTATGCCAAGATTGGCTTGCCACCTTTGCCCAAGACTCATGATCAGACACTTCCACACAGTAAGTAGGGCAGGCTACATGTGTCTGCACCTTTATGAGAGGCTTGGATTCTTCAACTGGGAGATCCTCCCAAGACCTGGCCGTAGGGTATGGGTTTAGGATGTTTCTTCCTCCTAAGGACAATGCGGAGCCAGGGTATAGAACCTGAGAGATGTCCTTTCTTCTGCTTTTATCATTAATGTCATATATTCTAGTGGCAACTCGAGTGAAAATTACTTTCTTTACTCATTTTATACTTGTTTGCTGTCTTCAGAGTGGACTTGGATCCTGAGACAAACAACCTGCAGTTTGTCTGATTCACAGTAAAGTAGAAAAAATTGCTAAGCTGCCTTAAAAAAAAAAAAAAGAAATACACATGCTTCCTTTAATTTCTTCAAATGAAAAATACATTACTAAGAAAACTTGTTAGTACGTAACAACTCATGATTGGACATAGCCACACATGTCTTAACACAATAGGTTAACATTCCTAACAGGAAACCCACTCTGTGTCACAGTCCTTACTATCTGTGGGTAACCCTCTGCCAGGTGTAAGTTCCATCTTTGGTATTTTAGCTTACAGAGAGCCCAGAACCAGCTGGGCTACCCCACAGACAAGTTCCAAATTCTGCACTTTGGATGGCACAACCATGGATGTAAGGACAGACTGGGGAATGAGATTCTGGGAAGCAGTGCTGTGGAAAGGGACCTGGGCCCTTGGTTGATAGCAAGTTGAATATGAGTCAGCAGTGCCCTGGCAGCCAGGAGGGCCAACTGTGTCCTGGGGGGCATCAGGCAAAGCATCGCCAGTTGGTCGAGAGAGGGGATTGTCCTGCTCTGCTCTGCACTGGGCAGCCTCACCTTGAATATTTGGCAATTTTAGGCACCACAATATAAAAAGATAATAATCTACTACAGAGGAGAGCATTGTAGATGGTGAAGAGACTGGAGGAGAAGCTATATGAGGAGTGACTGAGGGCACTTGGTCTGTTTAGCCTGGAGGAGACTGAGGGGAGACCTCATTGCAGCCTGCATCTTCCTCATGAGGGGAAGTGAAGAGGCAGGTACTGGTCTCCTCTCTTGTGATGAGGACTTGGGGAAATGGCCCAAAGCTGTGTCAGGGGAGATATAGGATAGATATCAGGAGAAGGTTTTTTACCCAGAGGGTGTTTGGGCAGTGGAACAGGCTCCCCAGGGAAGCAGTGACAGCACCAAACCTGACAGAGTTCAAGAAACATTTGGACAATACTCTTACGAACATAGTGGGATTCTTGGTGGTGTACTATACAATGCCAGGAGCTGGACTTTGATGATACTTCTATTGTTCATTCTTCATGGTGGTAATACATTTTTTGAACTAAATACAGAAAGATGGTACAATTAAACTTGTTTCTCTGTTTTCAGTGAAATATCTTTCTCTGACTTTGTGTTTGGAGGAAAAATAGAATATAACAAAGGCCACATAGACATGTTGTCAGTTGGCTTTTAAATGGTAGAAAAATGGAAATAATGTATGATTTAACATTTTAAAACATAGAAAGCTTATTACTGGTTTTGATGCTTGTCCTCCTATAGATTTGGAACGTTACCACATATCCAGAACTTGTAATGCAACATCATTACAGAAATTCCTAGCTCAGCACCAAGCAGACTCCTTAGTAAAATAACATGCTGATATACTAGTTTAGCCCCTGTACTGCAGTATTATGATACTATTTCTGCCTCTCAGCAGACTAATTAGCTTGGGAGTGGCAGAATGCTTTTAATTTTCATCTCTTAAATTACTTTGTTCAAAGCTGGTTTGGCTATTTCTGTGCACTGCTTTCATGTATCCTTAATACTGTTTTCAGGTTTTCTTATCTATAATTTGAGCTCTATTCTATCTTATCAGGAAAACATTTAGGTCTAGAAATTTTTAAAGGATTCTGCAGATTTTTTATAGTCTGTGTCCACCCTTTGGGCATTTTTGGGAGCATCAGGTGTCAGCTGTGCAATGTTTCTGCTGACCTGTGGAGATTCTTCAAAAGAATCTCATTAGGAATATTTCTCTTTATAAGCCCTGTTGAAAATTTGGTATCCAGAAATTTCTAGGTTCTGTTGATTTTGTTATGTAGCCTCATGAATGCATTTAATGATTTGTTTTCCTGAATGAGGACCCTAGTTTATAAGATATTTTATCATTAAATATGAAATTTAAAATTAATTATTAACATTTAAATGATATTCTAGCTGAGAGTAGACAGGGCTTTACATTTCTCTGTGAATTTAATTTTGTTCTCAGT